GCAGGGATGGAGTCTCACCGTGAGCAGGTTGATGAGGTCCGGATTGGCCTCGAAGGGTGGTTTGATGCTCTGCACCAGCACCAGCTCGTTGAGGATCCCAAAGAGCTGCTGCATCTTGGTGCCATTGGGCCCGGTCCAGCCAATCAGGCAGTGCCACGTGCACAGCCACCAGGTCCTTGAGGTGCACTCCCAGGATGGGGAAGCGGAAGCCGACGCACTCGGCCAGGCGGCGCCGGTACCGGCTGTAGTTTCCCAGTGAGGTCACCAGCTCCGTCATGGACTCCCACAGCTGGGAGGGATGGGGGTATAGGGCCGGGTCCAGAGTGAGCCCCCAACACTGCCCCAATCCCCAGCCCAGAGTTCCCCTGCCCCCCAACACTGCCCCAGCCCAGAACTCCCCGGCCCCCAACACTACCCCAGATTCCCCACCCTCCAGCCTAGAGTTCCCCTGGCCCCCAACACTGCCCTAGTTCCCAACCCTTCAATACTAGCCCCAGCTCCCCTGCCACCCAGCACTGCCCCAGATGGCCAGACTCTAACCCCACCCCAGACTCCAAGCCCCTGGGAAAGCATGGGGTGTGGGTGTGGAGAGAGCACGCTACGTCATCCCACCCTCCAGCATTGCCACAGCCCCTGGCCTCTCCTGCCAGCCCCCCCATACCTTGGTGGTCTCTGAGCTGACATGGCTGTGGGTCTCCTTGAGGCGGGAGATGGAGCTGTGACTCAGCCCCCCCACCACGGCCATCAGCGTGTTGAAATTCTGCAGCTGCAGGAGTCTCTGTAGGGCCGGTGGGCGGAGCAGGGTGCAGCCAGGGAGCAGTGGGGAGAGAGAGGTCGGGTTAGTTCCAAGGATGGGAGAATGGGGCACGGGGGGAGTTCACACCTGGAGCCCTGGCTCCAGAGCCCAGCCAGGTGAGGAGTCTGGGGCTTCTCAGAGCGTAATGGGGCTGCGGGGTGGGGCCGAGGCCCCCCCTCACCTGCGCCACTAGGATGAAGCGGGTGATGACCTGTGCCCGCTGCTGGGCAGTCGGCTTGCTCAGCACCATGAGCTGCACCCACTGCGAGACGCTGTTGAACAGGGTGATGAACCTCTCCAGGATGGGGTTGTTCACAGTGCAGCCATGCATGACGAAGCTGTGATAGTCCTGGAACTGGGACAGAAACAGGCTCAGTGCTATCCAGGGAGGAGCATGGAGGTGGGGTGGGGGTCACTGCCTGTCTAGAGGGAGGGCAGGGTGGTCAGGGCCTGCACCATCGGGACAAACAAGGGGGGTCAGTGTCTGTACCACGAGGAACACAGGGAGGGTCAGGGGGAGGAAAGGTCATTCCCAAAGCACCCCTCAACCTCCAGGCTGCCTGCCCAGCCCCCCCCCAGTAGCTCCTCCCAGCGCCACAAGGTCTGTCCCGCACCAGGATCTTGCAGAAGGAGCGGTACTCCAGGTAGGTGAGATGCTCCGCCAGCTCAGAGAACTCCCTTGCGTTTCTTCTGGGCCACTGGGTTGCGCTGGGTCACTTGGCGCTTCCACTTGTAGGTGGGGCTGGGGGGGCACAGCCAGGGGAGATGTGTCAGAGCCCAAGCCAGTCTTAGCACCCAAACCATGGGCATACTCTCCCTGCACGCGCCTGCACAGCCCAGAGAGTCAGTGACCCCTGCACACTCCCACGCCCCACACCCAATGCACATGCATGTGGCCAATGCCCTGTTCTCTCCCATACACCATCACAACATGCAGACACATATGGCCCATGTCCTGCACACTTACACACACTCTGTGCTTTCCCAGATGCCCACGCCCCATGCACATGCATACAGCCCACACTCACACCCTGTGCACATGTTCACACCCATACACACATATGGCCCACACCCATGCCCCATGCTCTCCCACACATCATGTGCTGACAAACACATGCCTTGTGTACTCCCCCACATACAAATCACATGCACACACATAGGGTACGTCTAGACTACATGGCTTCATCGATGGAGCCATGTAAATTAGTTTACCTCAGCATAGTCAAAGAAGTGGGGATTTAAATAATAAAATAAAAATGGCTGCCACGCTCTGCCGACAATCAGCTGATCTGGAACAGCGTGGCAGTCTAGACGCGGCGTGGTCAACAAGGGAAGCGTTTCACGAGGCATACTGGAGCGGTCGACAAAGGCTTCCCTTGTCGATCGTGCCGCGTCTAGACTTCCGCGCTGTGCCGGATCAGCTGATCGTCGGCAGAGCGTGGCGGCCATTTTATTTTAATGAAGCGGGGATTATTTAAATCCCCGCTTCTTTGGCTATGCCAAGTAAACTAATTTACATGGCTCCGTCGACAGAGCCATGTAGTCTAGACACACCCATATGGTCCAGGTGCTCTGATGTGCATGTCCTGTTCATGCCCACACTCACATGCAGCATGCATATGCAACGGACATATTCACAAATGTGCAATGAAACATACCTGTGCACACGCTTGTGCCCCAGCACACACCCACTCCTCAGCCCATGCAGGCCACTTGCTCACACCCATGCTGCTGTTGTGGTGACAGCTGCTCTGGGAGAGCCCCGCATTCATCTCACTGCCCATCGCATTAATTGAACTGCCAATCACCTCCACCCGATCTCCCACCTCCTCAGATCCTCCCAATTCCCTCACTCCCCCCATGCGCTCAACCCCTTCACATACACATTCTCAATGTCGATGAGGCTGCTATGGCGCCGGTTTCCCTCACGTCCCAGAACCTCCTTTAGCTCCTTGATCTGCTCTGCAAGCTCCGGATTCAAATCGAACTCTGCCGGGAATGCTGAGATCCAGTACCTGGGGGAAGGAGGGGAACAAGGGGCAACAAGAGCCAGCACCTGGAAAATAGCTGCCTCTGGGGTGGGGTGCAGGGAATGTTTGTACAAGGATCCCTCAGCCAGCACTGAGATGCAGCCACCTCTGGGGTGGGACACAGGGACTGTTTGTACAGGGATCCCTTGCCCAGTGGAAAGATGCCCTGTGTTGAGCCCCCTGCTGTTCCTTGCAGCGTTGTGCTCTTCAATGCTGCATTGAAGCCAACTCAGTGCTCCTGAAAGGCAGGGCCCCTCCAGACTCACCTCACCAGGTGGCAGGTTTTCACCTGCAGGGAGCTGCTTTCTGAGCTACGAGACTCTTGGTAGGTGCAAGGGCAGAGTTAAGGTGAATTCCACATTGCAGGCAACAAAGATGTGGGGAGAGGGGAAGTAATGGAGCAGGAGCTGGGCCATAGATTTAGGGCCTTTGGACCAGGATGGGAGGAGCCAGTATTATAGAATCACAGCAATGTGCCGCTGCAAGGGACTGCAAGAGGTCACCAAGTCCAGCCCCCTTGTGCTGAGGCAGGGCCAAGTAAACCCAGAGCATCCTTGATATGTGTGTGCCCAGCCTGTTCTTACAACTTCCAGTGATGGGGAGTCTGCAGCCTCCCCAGCGGCCTGTTCCAGAACTTAACAAGCCTGAGAAAGTTTTTCCTAAAATCTAACCTACATCTCCCTTGCAGCAGATTAAACTACATCTGGGCCTACCTCCAGCGGACATGGAGAACAACTGACCACTATCCTCTTCAGAACAGCCCTGAACGTATTGGACCACTGTTAGCAAGTGCCTCCCCACGCCTTTTCTCAAGACTACCCTCACCCAGCTTTCTAGCCTTTCCTCCCAGGGCAGGTTACAGATTGTTTATCATTTGTATTGCTCTCTGGATGCTCACCAATTTCTCCCCAGCTCTCCTAAAGCCAGGCACCCAGACTGGGGCACTGCATGCTGGCTGAAGCATCCCCAGGGCTGAGCAACAAGGAACAGCTTTCTCCTGGGTCTTACATACACCTCTCCCACCAACACACTCCAGATGAGAACAGCTCTGTCCACAACAGCATCATACTGTTGGCTCCCTTGGCAAGTCAACCCCAGATCCTTTCAAGACAATTATCCCCAAGCCAGGTCTTCCCCATTTTGTTGCAGTGCGTCTGATTTCTCCTTCCTCAGGGCAGGTCTATATGCTTGTCTTTATTGAATTTCATCTTGTTGAAATCAGACCAAATCTCCAACTTCTCAAGGGCATGCTGGACTCTAACCCTGTCCTGCAGAGTGCTCACCAGCCCTACAGCTTAATGGCATCTGATGGGGTGAGAAGCCTGTTCTGCAGCGCATCATCCAAGTCACAAATGACAATATTGACTAGCGCCAGACCCAGGACTAACCCTCTGGGACCCCTCTCAATACATCCACCCAGCTTGGCAGCGAACCCTTGAGAGACTGTCCTCAAAGAGTAGCTTTCAACCAGGTCTGCACCCACCTTAAAGCAATTTCATCTAGACGACATTTCCCTAGTTTGCTTCTTAGAATGCCGTGGGGACAGGGTCAAAAGTATTACTAAAAATCAAGAGCTATCATGTCTACTGCTTCCCCCCAGCCTCTAGGCCAATGACCCTGTCAACAAAGGATCTCAAGCTGGTTTGGCCTGATTTGTTCTTGGCAAACCCATGCAGGGTGTTCCTTAGACCCCTATTATCCTCCAGGGATTCACAAACTGCTTGGTAATTTGTTCCGGTATCTTTCCAAGTATGGAAGTTAGATTGCCTGATCTATAATCTCCAAAGTCCTCTTTGTTCCCTTTTTTAGAAAACGGTGCTATGCCTGTCCTTCTCCAATCCCCTAGGACCACACCCATCCCCCATTTCTCAGAGACAATCGCTAACAGCTCCTAGATTGCTTCAACTCGCCCCTTAAGTATCTGAGGATCAATTTTTCATCAGACCCTGCCAACTTGAATCTCTCAAACTCCTTTAAATACTCTTTAGCCTACACTTTCCCTATTTGAGTCTATGTTCCTTCCCCCTTGACATTAATATTCATTATCCTGAACACCTGGTCACCATTTTAGTGACGACTGAAGCGAATAAGCATGAACACACACACACACACACACACACACACACATCAGCTTTCCTGAGGCCTTCAATTAGCTGCCTTCGTCCAGAAGTAGCGGACCTGCACTTTCCTTCAGCTTCCTCTTGCTCCTGATGTATTTACAGAGCCTCCCCCTATTGCCTTTCTGTCCCTTGCTAGGTGTGACTCATTTTGTACCTTAGCCTGTCTGATTTTGCTCCTACCTGCTGGTGCAATTCTTTTGTGCTCCTCGTTGGCAGTTCGTCCACGTTTCCACTTTTGGAAGGATTCTTCTTGACTCTAAGATTGCTGAGGAGCTCCAGAGGGAGCCACCTCAGCCTTTTCCTGCCTTTCCTTGGCATCAGGCTAGTTTGCTGTTGTACCTTTAACACTGCCTCTGAGAAACTCCCACCTCATTTCCCCTTCAAGTTTCTTCTCATGGGACCTTTGCTTCCAGTTCTCTGATCTTTTTATGTCCATTTTTTTAAGCTCACTGTCCTACTTCTGCCACCCCAACTCCTGCCTTTCCTTCGGAGTCCTGGACTCATCATTCCAGGGTCACTTTCACCCAGACTGCCTTCTGCCTTCACATACACAACCAATTCCAACTTGATGGGGCCCCCTAGTCCTTCCGGGATCTTCTGGTGAGCCCCAGCCCTGGAGACTGCCAGACAGCAGAATGAGCCTCATCAGCCAGGGCAAAAGGGAAGGGGTGCCCAAGAAGGAAAGGGAGGCATCAGGGTGCCCAAGGCAGGTGGGGGCAGGGTGAATGAGAGCAGGTGGTGCAGGAAGGGGAATAGAGGGTTCACAAGGATATATCTGCAGCAGTTTGGCAGCCAGCTGGGAGGAGGGGATGTACCAGGGATGCATCATCAGGAACATTCGCACCAGCTGGGGGTCCCGCACCTTCCCCTCATCATCTGCAAAAGAGAGCAGGCTCTGCTCAGAGATCCCCACAAGCCCCACCTGCTCAGAGACCCCCCTCCCCACACTCCTGCACCACACTCAGAGACACCTCACCCACAACCCCCACACTCCTGCACCACATTCAGAAATACCCCACCCACGACCCCCACTGGCTCAGGGATGCTGCCTTCCCTCACTCAGGGAAACACCCCACAACCACAACCCCACTCAGGGATGCCTCCCACAACCCCCACCCTGCTCAGAGACCTCCCCCTTTTAAACTCCCTGCTCAGTGAGCCTCTGCAGCCCCCTACCCTGCTCAGAAAGTCCTACTGATTCCCCAGCCCAGAGTCCTCTGGTGAGCCTCTGTCCCACTGGGTGCCTCTTGCTGACCCCCCATAACTCACTGAGGCTACATCTGCATCTCAGAGCCTGGGCTGCAGACATTGCTGTGTGAACACTGCAGCTCAGGTGCTGAAGCCTGGGGTGGGGACAGAGGGTCTCCAGACCAGGTCACAATGTCCACACGGCTATTCTTAGCCCCAGGGCATGAGCCCCATGACCCCATGTCTTTGCCCAGCTCTGAGACTTGCTGCATGGCTGCCACTCACCATGTGGACATAGCCACAGGGACCCCCACTGCTACGTGACCCTTACTAACTCTGCTCCCTGCAGCACAGGGGCGCTGGGGTCAGTGTTGATTGCAAGGGGAGAGCCCCCTGCTGAGGCCTCCACCCCACTCCCTGCAGCACAGAACCCTCTGGGGTCAGGACAATAGATTGATGAAAACCCCAAAGCCACAGCCTGACCCCGGTCCTCTATATACCATGGGCAGCCCCAGTCCATATGCCACCTCACCAGGTTCCCTCCCCATCTCACCCCTTACCAGTCATCCACACCAACAAGCGCTTCTCCCCTATGCTCCAAAATAACACCACTGCATTACCAAAGGCCTCGATGCAGCCCTGCAGCAGCTCCTCAACCGTACAGCCCTTGTCCAGGTCCAGCGTCTCGCTCATCTCGGTGCCCCGTGCCAGCCAGCTCCCCTTCTACCAGCCGGGTTCAGCCACAGACAGGTGTTGCCTGGCTCAGGGGTGACGTGTCAGCAGTCCCCGAAGATGAAGGATCCTTGGAGAGAACCTGCCAATGAAAGAGGAGATGGGGCCAGTTATAACTTGGTGCCAAGATGCAGCTGTTTCTACAGGGGTCACTCGCATGGGGCTGAGGTACATTGGGTCAGGGCTGCCCCAGAGGGGAGAACAACCCCCTCTGTGCCCCCAACCCGCTCCTTGCAAGTTACCAAGTATGCCTTCCAGGAGGTCTCCCAGCCAGCCAGGTACACCTGCTGAGCTGAGAGGCTGTGAACACTGCAGGAGGGAGGGTAAGTTTGTTGCAAAACAAAATAGCTAGAGAATTTTGGGTAAAGTTGCAAAATGTTTCCTCCATCCTGGCTTCCTGCCTGGGCCCAGACCGGCCCTGCTTTGCCCCAGGGAGTGCAGAAGTATGGGACATGAGAGCTTTCCCCTCCCGGGAGCACTGGCTCCGATCTGGCTCCAGGCTGTGAACACTGCAGGAGGGAGGGTAAGTTTGTTGCAAAACAAAATAGCTAGAGAATTTTGGGTAAAGTTGCAAAATGTTTCCTCCATCCTGGCTTCCTGCCTGGGCCCAGACCGGCCCTGCTTTGCCCCAGGGAGTGCAGAAGTATGGGACATGAGAGCTTTCCCCTCCCGGGAGCACTGGCTCCGATCTGGCTCCAGGCTGGGGAGAAGGGTTGGCCATAGATGTGGGGGAGTTCCCCCTCTAACTTACAGCCCCTAAAACATGTGCAACCTCACAACATCCTAGCAGGGAAACGTACATTAGAGAAATAAGACCATGGTCACAGAGTGGGGAAATAGCACCCAGGAGTCCTGGCTCCCCACCCCTGCCCCTGCACTACCCCACTAGACCCTGCTCTCCATCCAGAGCCAGAACCCAGGCATCCTGGAACCCAGCCCCAAGTACTTCTGACCTTGCACAAAGCCCAGAGGAGCAGTCCCTGCAGCTGGGACTGCTGAGCTATTCTGAGCCCTGTGGGTGTTAAAGGACTGGGATGGAATTTATAAGTGGCCTTTTGCATAATAACATTGCTTGGAGGGTGAGGAGAGGCGGGGGCTGTCTGCTTTTTGGTGGAGGGACTGGGAAAAGGGGTGATCCCAGGCACAAAGCAAGTACCCGGGTTCTTTCCCCCAGTAAAGGTATCTGAGGGTTAAACGTGACAACAAGGATTGGATCAGCCCCAGAGCCAAGGAATGTTTAGAGAGAAATGAAGGACCCAGGAATCTGACCACAGTGACTCAGGCTGAGAGATTAATTTAGACAAGGGCTCACATCCCCGGAATTCCAGCTGCTCTGTGTATGGAGCTGTAATCTAGGGAACGGCTCCTGATGGATGGGGAGGCGGGAAGGGCTCCCTCAGGGGGCTTGTGTGCAAAGTGCTGGGTTGGCATGTGTATCTGAGATCCAGTGGGAATGGGTTGGTATCTGTGTTGTAAATCCCCCCACAAAAAGCACCTGCACCCACCCAGAAATGGCTGCATCTCAGCACCAGGCAAGAGATCCCTGTATAAATGCCTGCCCCCCACATTCCACCCCAGATCTGGCTGCATCTCAGCGCCAGGCAAGGGATCCCTTTGTGTAATTGCTCTGTAGTAAGACAAGATTATTATTAATCTTTTAAGACAAGCTTTTGTGTATGCAACTTACCAGGCTTTAAATTGCGGGTTGGGGTTTCGTGCAGCGTTATTTTTAGGTGACTTTTTGTTCATGGTTAGTTAGAAGAGGAATAGAAACAACAAGCTGATGGGGGGAGGACTGAACAAAAGGTATTTGGGGGGACATTCCCTCTTTTCCATCTGGCTGTTTGTTTGCACAGCACCTCCTACTAACTGCATGTCTTTCACACACGCATCAGTCATGTTGCAAAATATCAGTCAAAATACAGTGTTGCCAAATGTCAGTTGCCTCACAGTCACCTCTGGGAACAACACATCACACGCACTGCATCCACTGTATGCAGCATAAACACAGAGTCACACTGAGCTTGCATACACTGTCATACGGTGTGTGGCATAACCCTTTACAACACACACAGATCTGCTGCATGCACACAGCTGGCCCATTGTGTATGTTCATACGCAGGCACACACACACCATGCTGCATGCACAGTACGGCACTGCATACATTTGGCCCATAGTGCACTGTGTGTGCACACAGCCATGCTGGGCACACTGTGCTGTACTGCACACACCTAGCCTATAGTGCACTATGTGATGCGCACATACGACCATGCGCACACATGATCACGCTACATGCATTGTGCTCCACTGCACACACCTGGCCTATAGTGCACTGTGCGCACACACAGCCATGCTGCATGCTCTGTACTGCACTGCACTCACCTGGCCCATAATGCACTGTGCACACTGAACCTCAAATGAAACCCCATTATTGCACAGCCTGCTGTCACTTCACACAGCCCTGGGCTGCATGTCCTAGCTATATGGGGGGCAAGGACATTTTCTATCCTTGTGCCATATCACAGCCAGGTTTCTGAGCTTTCATACAACACGCCAGTAGTCACCCCGCCCCAGTGTTGTGGGACCACTAAGATACTAATCTGAGGCATCTACTTCCCTATTCACTGCCATGGTGCTTGCCCCATCACTGCCTTTAGAGCCTCCATCAGTACCCCCAGTGCACCTGCCACCCTTCTACCTTATTGCCTCCCATACCCTGCAGTTAAGTGGGCATTATAGCCCAGGACAATACCAGCTCAGCAGTCCCCCATATATCCTCAAAGTGCAGGTGACAGCAGAGAGTCTCCACCCCCACTACACACACTTACAGAGAGACCCCACATGCCTCCCTTTTGCATATGTGGTGGGGGGAGACAGAGAAGTGCCATCAGCCAGACCACCAGGATTGGTGTGACAGGACAGATGGCTGATGTGACAGTTGTATGGGGGGGGAGGGTGGCATGAAAGGGGCAGGAGTATCAGTGTGATGGGGCAATAGGATGATGTGAAGGGGGTCAGTGTGATGGGGTGGAGGGCAGAGAGATGGGGCAGTGGATCAGGGAATAGGGTGAAGAGGAGTCGGCATGATGGAATGGGGGGAAGAGGAATGGGGCAGGGCGTAGTGTGATGGGGAGTCGGTGTAATGGCGCAGCAGGAGAGGAATGGGGCAAAGGGGGGGTCGCTGTGATGCAGACAGCGGGGATGGGACGAGGGGGGTCAGTGTGATGAGGAGAGGGGGAATGGGGCAAAGTGGGTGGCAATGAGGACAGCAGGGATGGGGCAAAGGGGAGATGATGAGGACTGTGGGGGAGGGGCGGGATGAGAGGGGGAATGGGGCAAAGTGGGTGGCAATGAGGACAGCAGGGATGGGGCAAAGGGGAGATGATGAGGACTGTGGGGGAGGGGCGGGATGAGGACAGTGAGGGATGGGGCAAAGGGGGGGTCGCTGTGATGAGGATAGCAGGGAATGGGGTGAAGGGGGTGGGTGTGATGAGGACAGCGGGGGACTCTGGACTGGGGGAGTAGATTGCGGTGCAG